ACAAATGTTCCGGGGAAAGTGATTTTTCCGAGATATGAAACAGAGATGAAGATATACGTGATATACGGCGTACCAAAAATGGCAGCCACTCTTCGTCGAATTGTAATATCCCAGCGCTCACTCTTTTAATAATTTCTTCGCTATGGAAAGTGATTCCGAATCAGAATTTGTAGGATTTTTATCAAAGGGTATTTTAGATATGAATATTTATCTCAGTAGCGTTCGGGAAATTGTTTTTTTCCGGGATTATAAACGGAGAAGAAGATGACCCAGATACGACTTACTACGAAAAAAAAAATCAAAATGTCGGCCATTTAAATGAGGATAAAAATAGTTTGATTTTTTAATTTGCTCATTGTAGTAAATCTTGCACATTTTGATTGTCAATTAGACGAATGCCTACGGAAGCATGCTATGGCCTGTTGTACAATGTGCGTGTGCTAAACATTGTTGAATTTAAATAAAAAATAACTTTGTTGTTACTTTGTATTAGTGCCCAATTATATATCTTCATTTGAATATATGAAAATTTTTTGACTGGAATAATAGTTTGTGTGTTATTTTGTGTTCTTTGCAATATATTGGATTAAGGGATAATCCTTTAATTAGCTCCAGGGAGATAAGCTATTGTCTAGTTAATTGGCTTAGGGAGAGACAGTAGTAAATAATGAATTAAGTCTATGGGTCAATGAGTGGATTTTATGAAACAGAATTTCAAAAGGTTATTGACGAAATCTCGGATAATTGTCAAGTAACTTAAATAATGCATATAAATTTCACAAAGATCAGATGATAACTTTTGGTGTTGGAGCATTCACAAGGTTCAATAAAGTGAAACAAGGGCCATAACTCTAGACTTAATAAACAGAAATTGCTGAAATTACATAGGCTTCTTCATCTAACCAATGTGAACAATATATATCAATTTTAAAACAATCGGATCATAATTTTTGACGTTAGAGTGTTTGCAAGAAATAGTGGACGACGGACGGACGGGGGTGACGGCAATAGTGGGTGTATAAAAACGACAACTTTGGTGATTTCGGACATTTCGCATTGTCTTCTTTGTTTGGCATTTAGTAATTGAACATATTAACACAAGGTACAATTTTATGGATACACAATTACTGAGTTTGATACTAAGCAACGTTTCGACGAGGATACTCTCGTCTTTATCAAGCAAATGATACAAGTATGTGAATTGTGGGCAAATATAAATATGCTGTAATAATAATAATAAAATATATATACAGAATATGCAACTAAGATAATAATCAAATGCAAATAAAGCTGAACGACACTATCTCTGCATCGCATTAAAAATGTCAAATTGTTGCATAATCTGATATACTTGCCCTCTGATTTCACAATCTGGTTCATTAGTCTGGTAGCCACATATCCATATTGATGGCGTATATCTTCTTTGATTGGCATTTAGTAATTGAACATATTAACACAAGGTACAATTTTATGGATACACAATTACTGAGTTTGATACTAAGCGACGTTTCGACGAGGATTCTCTCGTCTTTATCAAGCAAATGAAACAAATATGTGAATTGTGGGCAAATATATATACAGAATATTTAACTAAGTAAGATAACAAAAGCTTAATGACACTATCTCTGCCCAAAATAGCTTTAATCTCTAAGTCACACCTACTTTTCCAATAAAACCGAAGAAATCGTATTGATTCCAACATGTGGTTTCTGAGATACAATCAAATTAGAAAAAAAAAAATAAAAAAATAATAATAACCAGTACTGCGAAGCAGTAATGATGGTGAAAATTTTATGTAAATCGAATATTAATTGCCACTTTTATAGACCAAATACCTTGAAAAGTGACATATTTGTGGATTGGAATCAAATATCATAATTTTAAAAACATTACAAATCAGACTCATTTGAATAAAATATCTGTTTTGAAGGCTAAAAATACAGTTTTTGTCCAAATGACGTCATTTCCGGTGACATCGTAAATGTTAAAATGATTTGACCTAGTCCAAATTGGCATAAGGCATCAAATGGTAAAAAAAATTGAAAATCGAATGATAATTGACTCTTTTACAGGCAAAATAACATGAAAAGTGACGCATGCAAAATTGCCTATTTCTCGGCAACTGCGCACATTACAAATTAAATTTCACATATATTCTCTTTGTATGGATTAATGCTACAGGTTCATGAAAGTTGTCAAATATTTTAAATTATGAAAAGCCTGAATGGATTGTAAATAGCTCATTTTTACACCCTTTTCACATTTAAATCAAAATGGTCCAAATGCAAAACTGAAATAAAAAAAAAAACTAAGCAAGACATATTTTGCAGCTTTAGTAGGAGCATTCATCTTGATCTATTCGATTTGGAAACATTAATATTTGCTTAAGGCCTTTAGATAGGGTTGTACGATATTCTCGATATAGTCATTTACAGGCCTCAAAATAGTAGATCGATTGCCCACCGATCGCCTGGACGAGATTTCAGGAGAACGATAATTTGATCTCCCCAGTCATGTCGGGTGATCGGTAAAAAGTTTATGGGGAACACCAATTGAAATCCACGTTTTAGTTGGCTCAGCAAAACTGTGGCCAACTCACGGAGAATAGTGTTGACTAGTTTGATGGTTTCTATAACCAAATAAAAGACGTCCTGATGTCTGAATCTGTTTATTCCAATAAATTCTGTTTAGCGTCTGTCGCAACGTCAAATTCCGGGGAACTTCTTACTGACGTTATGGGACACCCCACTCCTTTTACGGGAATTCCGCTAATGTTTGATTTGATATGCTAGCTTTATTTTCGTATAAGAAGAAAGTTTAAATCAAGGCGAACAAAATGATATGACATAACACGGGTTTTAATTTCTTTGACGCAACGGAAAACTTTTTAAAAGTTTTCTAAGAAGTATTTAGCGATGAAAATAGTAATTTTATTCAACCACAAGGCCATTATTAAAAAATACGAAACTACCGCTAAACATTGATATCAAAATATTTATTGTTAGTGTTTTGAAACATCCGCGGAAAAGACATCGATCTTGGATTACAACGACGAATAAGCCGTTAAAAGTATTAAAACCTATCCACATTCGTGTTTTTTTCTCAAGGAAACATCATTTTGTTTGCGGTTGTTACCAAAAAACGTAACCTACAGATTTTCATAGGCCCATTGTATTTATGACAGATCTTTTAATTAGTGGGGAAAACCGTATTTTTTCTTTTTCTTAGACAACAAAATGGCGGCATATGGCACACCTACACTAAAATAATAACAAGTTGGTTATAGAAGGAGTAAAACAGTTCTTCAAATTGTATCTTGGATATATTCCCTGAAATGAATTAAGTAAATGGTCACGCAATTTAAGTTACTCAAGAAACAACATTCAAACAACATCATGCAATCTCTAGTTTTAGGTGATCGATTGGTCACCTGGTTGATACCTCAGGTGATCAAAAAATCAATCACCTGGACCAAAAATCAGGGGATCGATTTATTGATCACCCTGTGCCGTCTTATTTCGAGGCCTGCATTTATCGCGATATGGTATTTTCAGACCCAACTACGATATCATGTGACCAAAAATCGTTGATATATAGTGGTTTATCGAATATCGCCAAAAACTTCAAATATCGAAATAAATTATCATAAAAATAGATCATAATACACTATACAGCAGTGGAAATTAGCCGAAGGCAATAAGCTATAATCAAACTAATGTTTTGAGAATCGTTAAATGTTTAAAACACTTGCGCAGTGTCCATAGCCATTTTTCATTGCATTGTGTATGCGTTACTTTTACTTTGTTTTTAATCGACAATACATTGTCAGTTGTTACCACATGTAAAGCTTAGGCCTACTAAACGCCTGAAATTTCCCACTACCATGGCTTATTACCAGGCTATAAATAGGTTGTCATATTTAAAAAAAAACAAATATTTTTAGAAAACTCTACGAAACTTAATTTCTGAAAGCAAGAATAAAACGATCTATAAATAGATTACTGTCACTGTTAGGCCAGGAATACCGCAGCCAATCAAATGCTTGAATGGAAGATAGTCCGGATCATTTAGTATTTGTTAAACTGTTTGAACTTACAATACAAGACTTGAAGACCGCATCTACTTACTTCCGCTGCACTTGATATTTGAGAATTTTCTTACACAAGGTCAACAAGCAGATGTTTTTTAAATATCAGCGGTTGTTTTTAATTTAATTATATGTACAGGCATAAGTAATGTCTCCTGTTATTGTGTCAAAAAGAATTAAAACGTGTTTATCCAAAAAGGATGTTGTTTTGTTCATTTTAATAAATCTATATTAATAACAAAGCAAAGTTTAAAGGCTCAATACCACTCTTGTTTTAACTGAATAATATGTCCCAATCTTTATTCTGGTCAACAAATTGTACTATTTTACAATATTCCAATTAATTGATGATACAAATTTCATCTTAACACACCTAATTTAAAAAATTGGAAAAATTCTTGTTTTTAAATGATTTGAAAAGCCTGACATAAAGCTTTTCAAATGTGACTTGGATTTAAAAATATTTTTGAACCCTCTGGACAAGTAAAATAGGATTTAATGGATAATTTACACAACAGGTAGTACACTAACACATCTAGTACTTAGAATAAGGCTATTTTTTATTTTCTGGAGCTGTCAAGCCAGCAAAAGTGTTATTGTCCCTTTAAAGTGTATGAATAAAGCAATTCTTACCCACAATTCTTACTCACACTGTAGTCAGCTTTAATGCATTTATTTTTAATTTATTTAATAGCAAGGTGACATTATTATTAAATATCGCGATATTTAACTATATATCGTTGAGAAATATGCCAATATCGATATCGTCCCTTTTTGCAATATCGTACAGCCCTACTCGAAGCGCAAGTATACAAAGTCAATGCTATAAATAAACGCTTTATACATGTCTGGATTTTTGGAATATAGATGGACAGGGGGACAATATGTAGGCATATAAAATTTATATACTTACGGACGACCTTTAAGGTTTTGACCTGATAAAGAAATATTGGGTATAGTTTTACCAGTGTTGTCCTCATCACATGTATTACCAAAACTATCAGATCCATACACAAGACGGAATGCATCACCATGACTTACGGAAAATGCAGCAATAAAAATCTGTAAATAAGATATACAGTACAGTTCAAGGCAACGTTTAACAACCCAACAGTGATGCTGATGTCCCCCGCCGTAATCCCAAAATAAATAGATGACACATATTAATTAAGAGCACATTTAATTTTTTCAAAAGTATCAAGCAATCAAACTGATTATCAACTATACACCAAGTTTCATCATCTACATCAAGTTTAAACATTCTACCTCAATGTTATGTTCCAGTCTTCACCAATCAAATTGCTTATTGCTCCATAGCCTAAGTAGAAAATTCTCACCATCGAACTTAGTCAAGGTAATGATATAATGAATCTATATTCAGAGTTTCATCGCTCTCACTTCATTATAACCAAAGTTATCATGCCTGTCATGTCTCACCGGCTCGAACGACACCACGGAGGCTTTACTCGTCGAGACCTGGCTACCCAGTTAGCTTAAGCGATTCCCTGGCAAATGAATAAAACTATCTTTGCTGACATTAATCAATGTTGGGCTGCAGTAAAACACTGTTCAGCCACATTCCCTGCCTTACAACAATGAAAAATTACTGCTCTAATGGCGGGAAAAACAATACATAAACTACTTCCGTTTTACGTGAGTAATTCACATTTAAAATGATGGTCACTATTGAATCACAAATACCTTAAAATTGAAGCAGGAAAGTGGATGACCAGCTACATTGTAAAAATACATATAATTATCAAATAAAAAGAAAGGTCCATAACTATTATGGCAGTCCTAATAAAATAACACCACACTCCCCACTTAAAAGATTATCTTTTACACGTCTCCTTTATCACCGGCAAACAACACAACCAAATCGCACACTGGTCTCGAGTATGTTTTTTGCTGTCCTTCTAACACAGAAGCACCCAGGCAATTGTCCACATATACACTAATTTCGGCCTCCCGAACAATTCCATCTTCGCTTTCTTTGATTTTAGTTACGCGTCCTTTGGGCCATACTCCCCTTATGGAGTTCTTATCTCGAATCAAAACAATATCGTTTACCTTAATATTTGGACTTGAGCTTTTCCACTTCTTTCTCTGTTGATGATTTTGGATGTACTCTCTTCGCCATCATAACCAGCATTGATCTGACAAATAATGAACTCTGCGCCTTTGTTTTCGACAGTACAGATCTGGCCTAGTGAATTCACCTGGGGGTGTAAGATAAGGGCGTGTCTTCATCGTTAAGATATTTGCTGGTGAGAGTGGTTGAGGTTCATTGACATCTGTAGCTACTTCTGTGATTGGGCGCGAGTTGACTATTGCAGCAGCCTCTGCCATTAAGGTGATTAGTAGATCATGAGTCAGTTGAGCTTTACCTAACTCAAGAAGCATACCGTCTAAAACTCTTCTTAATGTACCAATCTGGCGCTCCCAGATGCCTGCGAAATGTGATGCATGAGGTGGGTTAAATTTCCATTCACACTCGTGCTGTATTAGGAATTGTCGAATTCGGTCGTTCTTTATTTCCTCGAGTGCCTCTGTTAACTCAGCTCTAGCTCCTATAAAGTAAGTGCCTTGGTCTGACCGTAGAACAGTGACAGGTCCACGTAATGCAATAAAACGACGTAGGGCATTAATGACTGATGAGGTATCCATGGATTCAACGATTTCTATGTGGATGGCTCTACTGTTTAGGCAAGTAAAGATCAAACCCCAGCGCTTGCTACATGCTGATCCACCACAGGTTTTTCTAGTTGTGATTTCCCATGGCCCAAATGCATCCATACCAACATAACTTAAAGGTGCTGACGATTGTAAACGATCATCGGGAAGGTCAGCCATCTTTGGTGTCTCACAAGGGCGACGAAGAAAGTTACACCTAAAACAGTTTCTTATGTAATTACTGACTAACTGTTGCCCGCCTATGATCCAAAATCCTGATTGTCTAATTTTACCATGTGTAATCAGTCTTCCCTGGTGATGTGTAGCCTCATGATAGTGGCGTATTAAAAGAGAAGTGATGTGGTCATTTTTGGGTAATATCGCTGGATGTTTCTCTGGAAGAGGCCACTGTGCTCGTCTCAAGCGTCCACCAACCCTGGGCAAACCATCTGTATGGATGAAGGGATCCAAGTCTTGAAGTGGTAAACCTTTGAGTGGGCTCTTCTTAGAAACATCAATTTCTTTATCTTTCAGAATGGAGATCTCTTTTAAGAAGACGTTGTACTGAACATGACTGATGATGACGTCTTCGGCTTCTTTTATTATCTTAGGATTCAGCTTTGTGTTGAAACTTACTCTATTCGCTGGTGGTTGCATTCGCATTCTAACGAAAAGCTTTAAAAGGGCTACACTTCTGCAAAGTTTGTTCCAGTCTTCAAAGCGTTTGAAGTATGCACATAGTGCACAGGCACAATCCATGCGAAAGCCGTCGTACCGTCGGTCATTACCGATAAAATAGCTCTCGGTCCGGTATTTTCATCATGAATACCGGCCCAGTTGTCCGGAAAGATTCTGGACCTGGTTTACTGACTGCTGGTTGTATTAAATCATCGCCGTATTGGCACTGACTGACGGCACTTCGTGCACGGACTGTTGAATTCTCGTTTAATTTATTGTGTTAATTTCACTATTGTTTAAAATGTAAACAAAATCTTATCTCGAGTACGTACAGTACGGAGAGCGTGAAAGTTATACGGGACACGATTATCTTGTCGTTTTTTGTTGAAAATTGCCACGATAATGCCACGATAAATAACTTGGTGTAGCAGTCGCTATCGTGTGCCACGATAGTCGCGGGACGTGATAGGCCTCGGTGTAATTTTACATGCAAAATTAACGGTTATATTTGTCATAAACAATCGATGTCAAAACGATATACTGCCACGATGTTATGAATGTTGAATATTTTCGTTAATAATACGGACGCGTTAGGTAAAGTTGTATAGTAAGAACACGCGTGTTCACATATTCTGCACGATATATGCAGTTACATTTCCAACTAGTCATGTAAAGCTGCATGTCTAGTACATTTTGAAGGATAGTATGCATAAGACTATACATGTTTAGAGTGCATAGTTAAGAATTACTCTCGAATCAAGGCAAAGATAGACTTTAAAACTGCAAACTATAACGGTATTTAGGTTACCGATCTTACAAATAGAAATAAGACAAATAGAACTTGCAACGGGAGTCGAAAGCGCTTTCAAATCAGACATAAGAAGCTCATACTTACCGCAAAAATTAAATGAATGCGACACAAGTCTCCGATGTCAGAGAATATTAGTAAAGTATAACCGCTATCAAATCCACACAAAAATCCAAGGCACTCATTTTATTTTAGAAAAGAATAACTGTAGGCTCGATAGAAGAGCCTATTCTACATGAACCCCAAATCAATGGTAACAGAAATGTCCCGTGTATCAAAGATCAAAGAATAAAATCGCACGTAGCCACTCTTTGTTGTTTTTATGCGAATTCAATTTATCTTAAAGGGGCTCCGGCGCAATTTAAGGAATTATTTTTGACCCAATATTAACCATCGCCAATTTTTTAAATCATGGGATAAGGTCAATTAACAAACAATACGGGTCTACTTTATTACAAAAACATTGGTGAACTTACCATTTTGTCTAAAATCATAACGCTAATCAACAAACAATACTATTGTTCTTTATTACAAAAACATCTGTGAACTATATTGTTTTTGTACATATTGTATTTATTTATTTGTTTGTACTATATGTTATACCTGATGAGTCTTTGGCTTAAAGGAATAAAGAATTTGAACTCGAACTAATCGCTGTCGGGATGGCGAGCCAAGCTAGTTGATTATTAGGTAAATAAAACAATATAAACAACCAATGAGTAAAACTGATCTATTCTAATCAATTAAATAATATACAAGTCAAGTACCGGTATTACCTTAACCGTGGACGGGTTTGCTTGTGGACGGGTTAACGGACACTCAACTTACAAATATTAAATCATCGCACTGACTGACGGCACTTCGTGCACGGACTGTTGAATTCTCGTTTAATTTATTGTGTTAATTTCACTATTGTTTAAAATGTAAACAAAATCTTATCTCGAGTACGTAGTACCGTATATCGAGCTAGTCTAGTAAGTAGTAGGCTAGCTTAATCCAGACTAAAACGAAAGTCCTTTTATTGTATTAATAACATTGGCTTCTGGTAGACTCGATTGTCATCTAAGGGTTTATATTTTCTTTGCGCGGTCTATTTATTATCATTAACACAAAATGACAATTAAGGAAGTGTGCGAAAAAGTCTTTATACAATAGATAATCTTTGTAATAAAGTAAAGTATTTTCCCCCTTATATATACTGTTTGTTGTTTTTCGAGTTTTAGGCCATTATTACTTATTTTATGCATATTTTTGGTATGAACTTTTTTGGACCAGTAAAATCTCATTCGGTCCAGTAATAGTTGGAATAATACCTGCCCAAATGTCCAGTAAAAAAAATATCATTTCGCATGGACTGCACAGGCATCATGGATGTTCCCCAAGATCTTACTAACTTTAACTTCTGGGCGCAGTTCGTCGACATTTTTATCGTGCAGAGAGAATGATTCAAATGGTATATCCCTCTGAGGAGTCCACAAGAAGTCAGGACCTGTGAACCAGTTTCCCTTAATGAGCTTGGAGACAGAACACCCACGTGTTGCGATATCTGCTGGATTGGTTTCTGTATTTATGTACCTCCAAGTCGTAAGTGATGATTGGTTGCGAATGATTTCTACCCAATTAGCAACATACATGAAGAACCGTTTACTTTCATTCATGATGTATCCTAAAACGACTTTAGAATCTGTGTAGTAAAATGTATCGTCTATTTGATACTCTAAGTCTTTTTTAATGTCTCTTACTGTGTTAACTAACAGTACAGCGGCAGATAGTTCCATTTATGGAAACGTAACACGTTTCTGTGGCTTTACTTTGGCAGATGCTTTAACAAATGAAATCCACACCTGGTCTTCGTCATTGAATATACGTAGATAAACAACTACTCCGATTGCATCCTGACTGG